TAGAGCCAGCGAAGACAGTTGTTGATAAATGTCTGCAACAGGCTGTTGGAAATATTCTTTGTGACACACTGGCCAAGTTTCTGATCCATCCGTATAGAAGAACTGACTGACTTGACATGTGTATTGAAAATCCGTATTTTGTTGTTGACGCAGGCTGAGTGACAGCGGAAGATTTCCAGACTGGTTTCAGGTTGACGACGTCCAAAGATGACATGGAGGAGATCGTGTGAAGAAGAGCTGAAACAGTATGGATTAACATGGATGCAGGTGAAAAGCACAGCAGAAGACAGAAGCAAGTGGAGACGTGCAGTTGAAGCCCTATGTTCCACTAGGAACCCAAGGGAACAATAATAATAATAATCACTATATGATCACAGTCTAATAAATGTCGTGTGACTAACAGCTCCTTAAAATGACATCATGATTACTAGAAAGGCATTTGGAGCAGTGTTCGGCAACGCGAGCCGAAAGATATCTTTCTGTACACCAAATGTCTTTGCTTCTACAAATACATGTGTATATACATGTGCGTACATTATTTTTTTTGATTCTTTTACGTTCCCACTGGAACATAGGGCTTCAAGCTAGAGGCTTGAAGTTTCTGTAGCAGCGGTGTTTATTTTCACGGGATATTGTTGCTAGCCTCATGCCCAACCTTCCCTATTTACCATCCTTATTACCGGCTTCAACAGTTCATTAATTTAGCCAATTCACTTACAAATCAATTAATCAAATTCGAATACCTAAAGCACATCAATTTATTATAAAAACAATTATACATAATAAAGTCTATCTATCAGTTGGTTAAATGTGAATAAGGCATTGGCATAAAAGAAAATCTTGGCATCTATCTCATGACGTTGTGTCAGACATTTTACGCATGTGCATAAAGTTTCTTTCTTTTTTCTTAGAGAAAACGGCGCTTTCTCTTTCTTTAAAAGTATCATTTGATTTTTCAACTGATTGCTAATGGGAACCAATGTTCACGTCAGTAATTCGTTTATATTTCAAACTGGAAATAATACATTTAAATGAATAATTTATGAATTAAATAATTGAACAAATTAATTTAAATGAAGAGGATTTGTTTAGAAAGAACATATATTGTTTCTTTCTTACTTTTTTCCCCTTGCATTCTGTGTAGACAATAAAGCTCCGAGCTATTTGAAGCTTCTGACCTACTGACTGACTGACTGACTGGTTTCAACATAGAACTTCGCACAGATATGCAACAGTTTGAGTTGCCACACTCCGTCCTTGTATCACACAAAGCAAGACAACAGAGTAAACACAGGTTCAAAAGACAGATAATAAAAACAAAAGTGTGAGTCAGGGGAAAATGAATAGTGATATGGAAGAGCAATGGAGTTTTATTGGATGGCTGTAACAAATCACAAAGAGTGAATACATCTGCACCAACCATTGACAACGAGGAATGTCAGCCATATCACCAATTGTCTGTCTCCAGCCATCATTGGTTCTGACCATCACGAGGACCCCGATCAGCCAGTCAGCTAGCCAACCAGTGAGTCTATACCTCCCTACATGACTGGCTAGCTGGTTCAAACTAACTGTTATGGATTTCACTGACTGATGAAGACATGTTTTCGTTTGACCACCACTCACTAACTCTTTTCCAACCTGAACAATCTTATGTCAGTCAGCTGAGATCGCCAGTCGTCGAGGAAGTCGATGGCTAGTCATGCGTGAGTAACTCATGTCCTAACCATCTCACTCAATCAATGTAGCTGCTTTACAACCTAGTTGATCGATTTTCCCTTTCACCTACCTAGCATTCTACCAAAGCCTAACCTCCATATTGCTCACCCAATTAAACCAACCACTTAACACTGGAGATAGAAGGGAGGTACCTATGGTAAAAGACAGGTAGCCAGCCTTTTTATGTCTTCCACTTTCAATGGCCATTTCTCACAGCTATCCATGAAGGGGGAAGGAGCGAATTTCTGATATGTAGTACACAGGTCTTCTGATCTACAGCCTGCTAGAGATGGCGTGATTTGGCATATGTCAAACAAGCCTTCTATATCCGTGCTGAAATTTCGTCAGCGATGCAACTTCCCATACAGGTGAAGTTTCGGTAGCAGCGATGTTGTTTTTACTGGGTGGGACTGCTAATTTTACACTCAACCCTCCCCTTCCCCCTCTTTCCCTAGCTTACTATCGCTCAGTAAACTATGCCATACGTCTTAAGGTTAAAATGCAAACATCTCACAAGCCCAACTCAGTTACACATACTCAAATCGTTAGAAGCTGAAAACAACTTGAAACCACTGAATTCTAACTTTTGCTAGTATCCAATTCACTAGAGAATAAGACATTTCTTAATACATGGGCTACCTCGAACAGACACAACTAAGTTATGCTATCAGTGAAACAACCTACTATCGCCAATGTGTTGATGACACATTTGTTGTTTGAAACGCCATGGATCAGGCATCGGCATTGTATGATCGCCTCAATGAGACCGATACAAAGATCAAATTCATCATGGAATATGAACATAATAATGAGTTCAATTTCCTGGATCTAAATGTAGAAAGAACAAACCAAGGTACGATAGAAAAGTCCATCTATAGAAAAGAAACCTGGACTGGGTAATATCTTCACTATAACAGCTTTTCTCCCATAAGCTATAAACATGGATTAGTGAGGACTTTGTACGACAGAGTCAGGAAGCTATGTTCACCGATCAAGGTCGAAGAGGAATTAGGTTTCCTTGAGAACTACTAAAGAGAGAAAATGGATACCCAAAGGGATTTATACAAAAGTATAGCAGACAAAAAGATAAGAAAGAAAAACACCAAACTGTAGAAAAGAAGAAAGTGTTTATTTGTCTCCCATTCAAAGGAAGATGCAGAGTCACAAAAGTTTGACAAAAGACTAAAAAGAAGCTTCCCTGCAGCTAAACTCATAACATTATACAGCACCATTTCTTCTATAAGCCAGTCCAAACTAGATAAATACCCTGCTGATGTCACCTCCAAATGCGTTTATGAATTTACGTGCACTTGCGGGAGAAAGTACATTGGAATGACGGAAAGAAGGGCTTCTATCCGGTTTTCTGAACATATTCCAAGAAAATTGTGCCTGAAAGGAAGCAAATATTCTCAGAGTGCAATTACCAGACATATCGTTGATACCGGACATCTCGTAGAGATTTCTAAGTCCTTCAAAATATGAAATAGACAAAGGACAGCAAATCTACTACGATTTACCGAAGAGATCGCAATCGAACGATTCAAACCAACCAAACTTATACATACAGAAAGAGAGTGTGATTAGTCTCTTACTCTCTTGGTAACTGAATTTTGATATTGATTTTGACAAAACAGCTGTCCAGTACTCCCAGTTTTGCCAATGGTTCTCTAAACGATGTCAGCTCATGATGAAATCCTGCATGCAATTTTGATTACATTAATTAGTCATCTAATTCAGTGATCTTAACTCACTGAGCAAATCTCAATCTTATAAACTGTAACCGCTTTTGTTTTTTGAGATGCTATGTGAACCTACAAGCTAACACTGTTTTGTTAATTTTTTCTGTTTTCTGTCTTATCCCTCCACTACCCCCTTTTTTTCTACTTTGAAAGCGTATACATTGATGATGAAAACTTAAACTAAAAAAATTGTGATGCTTACATTTTGGATGCGACAATTTTATAGTATTTCTTCTCGACTACTAATTAGGTGCGTCGGTGGCACAGCGCTTAGGACTCTCGCCGACCATGCACATGGTCCGAGGTTCGATCCCCCACCGACGCACATGTGATATCTATGGTTGGCCTGCAGAATTTGGGCTACCGATATCACATGCTGAAAATTTCATTCTTGTACTAAAATACTGTGCGGAATCAAGCTGTAATCAAAATAAATAAATGTCTATCCCTCTACGGCCAAGGCAGAAGTAGGGATTGTACATACTTCTTTTGGTACGCAAAGGTCTGGCTTAAAGTCATGAATTGCCATACATATGTTTTCAACGTAGTATAACAGATTAGTTATGGGGTGTCAAAATAAATAGTCGTATTTGTGTGACAAATATGCTCTGGGCTGAAATTGATTACAAAATATTGGAAAATGGGAGACAATGGTGGTGGTGATTAGTCATGATAGATTTGAAGAGTGTGGGGTAGGAAAATTGACAAGTCAGTTCAACGTTACAAAAGGTGTCAGGTGAGTGGCTAGTACAAAGTGGTCTGTGTTGAATAGGAGATAGTAAGACTGCAATGAGAGGTTCATAATGAAATAACGAATATGTGAAATGAAACAGGTGGAGGCATATATTGAGAAAAGAGATAATATCGCTAATAATAATTCCGGATTGTATGAATGAAAAATTCGATAGTATTGAGAGAATGTTTGCATGAAAGGCATAAATTATGACGAATAATAATAATATTAATAATAATATTTGTAATAATAAGCAAAGAAAGAAAAAAACCAAGAGGGTTAAGGGGAAGAAGCATTCTTGTTGAGAAGAAGAATCATCAGTTCAAGTTTGGTCACGGTAGGAACAGCGTCTGGACGTGTTCTTTTTGGATACAAATTTTCGGTTTAGTCGATCTTATTGCAACAGCTTCAGCTATGTGTAGGAGACGTAAGCGAACTGTACGTGATAACGACTTCGGAATTCGGTATATGACCCTGAAAGCTGTGTTGACATCGATATATTGTCCATGACTAATCTGTTATTCTACGTTAAAAATGTATCCGCCGCATAACTGGCCTTTATTGTAACGACAACAAATATTATAATATATATTTATAATTGTAAGAACCTGAAGAGGAGAAATTATTGAAAAGAATATTCTTCGTTCAGATTGACTTTTAAAAGCGAGTCAGCCTACTTATTAGGCAGACGTATAAGTAGTCTAGTCAATTATACATCATATAAGTATATCATACTGCCTACATAACTATTAGAAATCATGTTCGTTGTCAGTATTAGGTACATAATACTAAAATAAGACATCAGATCTATGAAAGAAAATATATATATGCGTATATTTAAGAATTCACGTCATATGCTCACTCAGAAGACACTAAATGACTTACGTAAATGCGTCTCTGACAGACGGTGTGTATGTAACATGATATAGAATAGATAATTTTAATGATTTAATTTAATGATTTCTAGGTTTAATTATACCTTTCTTTAAGATTGTGTTAGCATAAATTAAGAGGTACACATGTTCTATCCCATTGAAAAAAAACAGATGACTTAGGCATATGTGTGGGAAAAATAAGTTCAAAGGAGCATTTGGTGGCAAAGTTGTTTTTTCTTCAACAATTTATAAGAGAATTAGATAGTCTACCAAGATTGTTTAATGAAACAAGTGATCTTGTCTTTGAGAATTTTATTGAGCCTGTGTTATTATTAATCGACATTTCTCAAGGTCAACTTTGAAAAAACACGTTGAAAAACACAGTAGACAACCAGTGATTTAAGGCAATTTTTATCATTATTGTTCCTTTGGTCTTTAACAGCACAGATCCACTTTTTTTTCAATTTTCCGCGGTCCTTTTTAGCTGGTCCCTCATTACCCTTCCTCCTCTCATGATCTCCTCCATGTCACCGTCAGACCACAGTGCAACTCGTTGTTCGAGCGATGGCTTGCACTGAGCCCAATGTCATCCGATGGCCTCTTCATTGTATGTCCAATCCATCACTATTTTTCAATACATATTTGTTGAGCGATAGTTCCTCAGGTGGTTCGTTCCACTGAAGCGCTTCTTGTTTCTAATTATTTCTGGTCTGCCATTTGATCTTCAATATGGAGCCAGCGATAGATAAGCAGCTGTTGATAAGAGTCCGCAACTTGTTGGAAATCCTTTTCGTGACACACTGACTAAGTTTCTGACCCGTATAGAAGAACTGACTGACTGACTGACTTTACATTTGTGTTGATATCCTTAATCTTGTTGTTTATGTTGGATGAGTGCAGATGATTTCCAAACTGGTTTCCGGGCATTGAAGCTGTACCTTGTCTTTTCGATTCTGGTTTTCACATCAATCAAACTGCTACAGAAACTTCAAGGCACAAGAATTGAGGTAAAAGTTAGATCAAAACTGTAATTTCGCTAATATTTACTATACATGTATTTGAGTCTTATACCAAACACCCACAAAACTATGCAATTCGACGTCTAGCAGTCTAAGGTTGCATTATTTGGACTCGTTTAATTAGTCAATCATTTTACCTCAAATCAAAAGTGATCGATATGTAGAGATGAAATCAAAATGTTTATTAAAGAAAACCAAATAACATGAAATAAGGGATTCTTACGTTGATCAATTTTGTACCTATCCGATACAAAATCAATTTGGTCAGATGCCCCATAAATAGAACAAGACGGATCTGTGCAGATGACTCCCTGGAAAATGAGCTGGCATACATCCAAAATACGCTGGTTTAAATAGGTTATCCTAGTAGATTTGTAAGGAGACACAAGAAAACCAGGTACAATAAAGAGAAACTGACAACATGGCTGAAAAGAAACAACTTTTTCCTAAAATTGCAATTTAATGACATGCGGCTAGTGAAGTCATACATTTAAGATTATCGAGAGCAATAAAACGAACTTATACTACTGCTACCCTATGTTTGTCGTTTTCCAACTAAATAATTATGATTGCTCAAGAGAAAGACAAGTTACCTAGCTGTACCACTTCTATGTGTATCTAGACAGCTTAACAAACACATTAGTGAGCATCTTTCTTCATGGTTCGGAAAAGGTCAAATAAAATCTATAAGAAGTGCTATTTTGGCTCATTTGATTGATCGGTGGTCACCAGTTGGACAGAAGAAGTGCCTATCTATCTATCTATCTATCTATCTATCTATCTATCTATCTATCTATCTATCTATCTATCTATCTATCTATCTATCGCATTTCATCGAGTCTTTCGAACGGAATTCGAACCCGCCTTTTCTTTCCTTTTTATGAGAATTAATTCGAGAGAACAATCCTAGTATTTGCATACAACAAAAGAAGTTTGTTCTACCTTTGTCTCTATCTCCCTTCCTTGACTAGGTAAAGTTCAATTAAAATCCTCCCAGCCTTTCTTATTCTCCATTTCCTTCGTAATTTTATGATATTTATTTAAACTCTGATTATCTGTCTATCCATTTCACCTTTAGTATTACGTAACTTTTACGATTTGACCTAATTTATTTATTCATTGAATTGTCTACATATACACATATCACTCACTACCTTCGTTATTCTTATCTCCGCACATGCATAAACCTTATTATCAATATTATTTTGTTATCATTATAATCATCGTTATTAACGACGTTCAAAACATTTACCACGTTTTTATTATTACTATTATTATCATTTGATCCACAAAATCACAGTCAATGGTTAAGTTTGTTATATGAATAAACGTAAATTAGAGTAAAGCCTGAAGAAGATCTAATTGAAAACAACAATATTTTTCGCTTATATGTCTTGATTCTTAATTTGGCTGTGGATTTCTTGCAAACGTATAACATTCGTTAAGAAATTCGAAAAACATACCATTCGTACACATTATACATTAGTACAATATGAGATGGGTCTCAGTGGCTTAATAGTATACGAGCTCGCTAGCCTTATAACCAGAAGGTCCTGGGTTCGAATCCCGGTGGGTGGGTGCTGCTGAAGAGTCCCAAACTAGGACGGAGGGAGCAGTTTCCCAGTACTCCCAGGTTTCTAGGTGCGTCGGTGGTATAGCGGTTAGGACGCTCGCCGACCATGCACATGGTCCAGGGATCGATCCCCGGCCACAGACGCACTCCTTTACCTTGCTAAGCCAGGAATAATGCTGGTAGAAAGGAAAGGTCGGGCATGAGGCTAGCGACCCCATCCTGTAAAAATAAACATTGCTACAGAAACTTCGGGCCACTAGCTAGAAGCCCTATGTTCCACTGTGGAACGTGAAGGAAAAAAGAAAACAATATGAGATAACATCTTCAAATGAACACAAAATGGTCACTTCTCGAACAATCGATTCAAAAAGAAATAACCAGGATCTATAACATTTACGTGATACAGACACCAGCCAACATCATTGCTGGCTAAATATCCTCATGTCTAATTTGGTTCAGCTCATTTTACTACACTTTTGAATAATCCTAAACTAAATCAGAATATTCCATTATGGGTAAATTTTATTTTGATAGAGTCTCACAGTGTTAAACAGTAATATTTACTGATGACGTTTCGAGCACAATTTATTGCTCATAATCATATCAAGGTAATCACACGACTTCCTAAATTCATTTATATAGTTCCATTGTTTTTCACTTGATTTAATTGGTAGTAATATTTTCCATATTTCGGGTATGAGTGATGATTCATTCCTATTGCATGTGTTGGGTGTAGATTCGATGAACAAGGATTCAGTAATCAACCTCTCTCTCCACCTACCTAGATTACGTTTTAGAATTTTAACCCTCTCCCACCCTATTGTGTGGTTGTGTGCTAATGCATGCATTGCAATCGCTGAGCTTTCTTCTAAATTACTTATCTTCTCTGGGTCAACCATTCTTACCTTAGCTAAATTCTTATGTTCTGACAATCTGACTACCCCTGACCTACTAGTTTGACCTATGTAGTTGACCTCACAGTCATTGCAGGGTATTTTGTAAATTATATTATTTTGTCTAATTGGGTCAACCGACATAGTCCTTTAACCTACAGAGCTTGTCCCTGAGTGAGTTTGTAGGTTTAAATGCCACCCTAATTCATGTGCGTCGGTGGCACAGTGGTTAGGACTCTCGCCGACCATGCACATGGTCCGGGTTTCGAACCCCTGCCGGCGCACACCCGATATCTATGGTATGCCTGAATTTGGGCAACCGATATCCATGCTGAAAGTTCCACACTTGTACTGAAAATACGGTGTGGAAATCAAGCTGTAAATCAAAAAAAAAAAAAAAAAAAAATTTATTTAGAATCCTACGTAGGGTTTCAGATGTCCCCTCTTTATATGGTATAACTGTAGATGACTTATATTCTCTCTTATTTATGTTATTATTACTAGTTTCACAATTATTTTTATTTTTCTTTTGGCCTTTTTCAATCTTCCTAATGAATTTTAGAGGATAGTTATTTAAAACCAACGCCTCTTCTATCTGTTTTATTTCATCATTAAGGTCTTTTTTTGTGCT